TCGTGGTAGATTCCCAAACCAAAGCGGCAAGGTCCCACAACCAGAACACTAATGGAAATGACAACGTACTGTTAATTGTTTGCACAGTGTGTGCAGCATTCGCCACCATAGGAATAATTGTTCTCGTTGCATTTAAGTTATGTCGGCGAATAAACGCCGATACCGTCCTGGCTTGCTGCAACAGAAATTCGAATGATGACAGTGCAGTGGACGACATTGAACTCTGCAGACCACTTACATCAGCATCACAAGAGGAGCTTAACCAAGGTAAAATGTTCAACCAGCATACTAAATAACTGATCAGATGTAAGGGCTTGAAATATAATATGATTCTGACTTGAGCACGAGATTAATAGTCAATCGCTTTCGCGGAAATTAATCAAAATGGCTTGAGGATGCATGATTCAACTTGTACAAGACGTTAAAAGGCTATAGTTATCGCAATACATAACACAGGTCACAGGGTATCTGTGCCAAGAAATACATCATTTGTTATCATGAATGACGTCACAACAGGGAGGGGGTACCCAATATGAAAACAAGAGAGATGACCGCTGTCCCGTGCAGGTACTGTCTTTTATAGTACATGCTTGGTTGAGTTCGTAAAATGGATATTAGCGTGCGAGCAAGCTCTCCACTAATGGCAAGCGAAGCAAGCCGCGAGAGAACAAGGATACTGTTCTCGCGTGACTTCTTGCAACTACCCTAAAAGATGAGCTTGCTTGCAGGCTAAATGGAAATTCAAAAATAAACAAGTGACTGCATCTCAAAGGTAATATGTTTTGTGCACAGATAATACAGGGGAATTTAAGGGAAACCCGCTAATCAAGTTATTTTTCATTTAGATGATGTGACTCTTACCGAGTTGGAGAGTAATAACCAGGGCGTATTTGACGAGATGTGCTCGAGCCTTGATAATGGAAGATCGCGGTTCAGGTTTAGGTGGGACTACGAACGGTTAGCTGCATGTTACAAGGGAATTCCACTGGAAGTACGCAATGCTTTGCACTCTGAGCATCTTAACAACAGAAGTCCTTCAAAAATGTTGATGAATCATCTCCAGACAAAATATCCTAACCTTCCATTGCGCCATTTTGTTTGGACACTGAAAGAGATTGGACGAAATGATCTTGTTGAAAAGTTAAAGCCATATGTTAAGAAAAATGTTAACAGCCCTCCCGCTTAGCAAAGTGAGTCTTGAAGCTCTTCGAGTAACCTGAGCTCAGGCCCATTGCCTGCCAGAATGTAATTTTCAACAAGAAACGAAAGTAGAGCCTGATCTCAGGTCACTCTTCGAGCGAGATATTAGAGAAGTAGAGAAAACCTTCAGTCCAAGGACGAATTTCTCCATCACTGTTTTCACACACTCGTGTCTAACATAAGAATTCGCCCAATCAGAAATGAAGCGCTTCAAAATCCTAACGTTAGGGATTCTTCTGTGAGGTCTGTTAACATACTGACTTTATACATATAAACAGCCACAAACGATGAACTTGCAGTTTGAAGTTTGTTTTGTAGTGTTAAATAGGTTTAAATAGCTCTGGACAAAAAGGTGCTGAATTGAGGCATTTACCTCGCGTACAAACTGGGCAATCAAATTATTTGGTGTATTTTGGCGGCTTGATAAACTCAACCAGCACGCGATCCTGTGAAAAATTATCAACATTATTTTTGATACGGCCCTCGAAAACAACACTATGAGTGGATAGGAACTGAATGCTGTTTAAAAAGTAGCGGGAAAACCTGTTTGGTCCTCTCTGCTGCTGTGTAAACTTGAAGAGCGTATCTTTGATTGCAAATTAAAACTGAGGACATTTTGTGATATAGGAATCTCTAAAGGCAAAATATGAACCCCTATACATCCTCACTGCCATAGCAACACTTAACAGGAGCTCTGTCAACCGATATTTAGTTATTATATTTTTAACATAAAATTACCAGGTTGAAAATGAAGGAAACCTCCAATTATTTAATAGTTTGAATTTAGCACAAAAGAACAACTCATATGCAGCAGAAGAAGCAGATTTATATGGATTGCAAATTTCACACTTGATAAACAATGAGTGAGGTGCAGAAAACATGACAGAGCCCCTATAAATGCACATCATCACACGTTAAAATTATCAGAAAAAACTCATATTTCCGAGATGACGATGGGATGTCAATTGAGATCTTGGATGGTGTGAGGAGAAGGTAAAAAAAATAGGAAGTTACCTTTTGTTTTGCACATTTAAGTCCATTGTACCTTTTTCCCTAGGAAAATTATTTAAGTTGTTTCTAATGTAATTATAAGTTGTGAAAATTGGGTTGTTGTGTTGCAGTAAATATACAGAAAGATTATTTAAAAGAGCCTTCTGTTACTGTAAATTACTGAAATTAAAATGATTAAAATTTATAAGAGGGTGCATTTAAGAACAGTAACGTTGTACCTCATTTTACCATAAGACAGCTTGCTGATTGTTGGTAATCATTTTTGTCACAAAATAGAAAAATTGTCTTCACTATGTACATGTACTTTGTAATGCAGTGGGAATAATTTAGCTTATTTAATTTGCTGAGAATTTGAAATGGGAAATCAATAAATCAAGGGGCATTTTACAATAAAAATAGCATGATTTTATTGGCTGATAAAATACCGAAAAGAAATGGATACATTGTTAGTAATAATGCTGTATGCTTTTGATGTAAAGTAAAGTAGTGTGCTAAGGTTTCTGTGTATACAAGCTGTAAATAATATTGCTAGAGTAGCTAAAAGATTAAAACTTTTGTTAAAATATTTGTCTGATATCTGCTAAAATCTGAATTATTCAGGGGTCTAACAGATACTGTGCAAACCTTCCCTGTCTCCCATACGGGTAATCACATCTTCTACATTGCAGACCCGAATTTTGAGCTGTCTCCCATACGGGTAATCACATCTTCTACATTGTAGACCCGCATTTTGAGCTTTTCTGTGCTTACATTTGGGATAAGGCTTATTTTCCCTCAATGCAAAAGTCACAAATGTTTTTAAGCATAGTACAGCTTCTGTGACATTGTTAGACATATTTCATCAGTGACAAAACCCCAGGCAGGTACTCCCTTGCATAAGCTATTTAAGTATGTGCCGCTCCAAAGGGTAGGGTTTTTGCCCTGTTTTAAATTTGAAATGGATTTTAAAAAATCATTTTGTTGCAATTGGTGATCTAAACTAAGTAATCATGACATTTTTGGAAAGCGAATATGGATTTCAGAGGCCAGGTCTGAAACAGGTTGGAAAGAGACATCTTATGGTCTGAAATAGGGACAGGATTTAAAGAACCAGGAGCACACCCCTACCAAGAATTCGCAGGAGTATCCCCCAGGGACAAGACTATTTTGTCATGAAAACAACTTTTTCATCTTAGACAAGGAGCCCAAGATGTCAGAATATGAGTCCTGAATTACAATCATGTTATATTTTGGGAATTGGTTTGATTTGTGTTTATGATGAGGTGGGAGTAGTGATTTATGTTGGGGTTTTAATATACTAGGTTACTACTAAAGACTAAAGAGAGAGGGTCGTGAAGGGGTAAAATGGGAACTGGGATTAGCCTTATTGTGGACTGGGAAAATGGGATTTACTCACTGGGACTGGGATTTAGCCACTGGGAATGGGATGAACAATTATAAAATGGGAATGGGATTTCTTTTCTTCAGCGGTCTTTGCTCCAATATTTTGAAATAGAAAAATAAAATTTCGTAGCAATAGACCTTGCACTCCTCAGTAGAGACCATGAAATCAGTATTTTTCGCCTTCGCCCCCGCGGTCTAGCTACCAGGCTTACACGGTTGCATAGTTACGTGTATCCAAATAGCGTCAATCAGTGCTTTTAATTTATTATGCGCATGATTTTGCAAATAATCATTAGTAATGGGATTTTAGATTTGGTAACTGGGATTTTGGCAAAAATTAGCCTGGGAACTGGGATTTGGGCCAAATTTAGGCTGGGAACTGGGATTTGGTACCCCCTTCACGACCCTCAAGAGACAGTCTTAAGATCTCCATAGGTTGGTGTTTCCGTAGTTTTCATTTGCAACACAAGGGGAATAAAGACCTTACCATAGCTTAACAATCAGAGAATTATAGACCAGCAATAAACTGCAGCCTAGTTTACTGTCGAACCAGGCAGTGTGGAGAGCAAAAGCGAGCAATTAGAGGTGGTTTATACAATGAACAAAGAGCTGAACTACGTCATTATCATTATCTTACCATCATTTCCGAGTCGTGTTTTGAATGTCCGTATTCCTCTGTTCACATATTCATTCCGATCCTCTCCCTGAGGTGTTCGGTTTATACTTCATTCAGTAAAGAGATTGCAATTCAAGAAAAACGCAACAACATCGCCATGTTCCCGCCATGTTCGCCTTTACTTAGTCCCAGACCTACTCTGCTATCCTTAATGAAGCATACATGAGGTAAAAACAATAAAACGGTCAAATAAAAAAGATGGCGGCCGAAACGGAGAGAAATTTTTCTTGGCTTTCAAAGACGTTTTCTGGAAATTTTCTTTGCGCTGGCTACCCCTCACGGGTTCAGGTCACATTCAAAGGAAAACAAAAAACCCAGTTTTGATCAAAATCCTTGGTTTAAAAGACTGTGGTGGTTTTAAAGGCAGACAAGAGATGTCACGATATCAGGTGGTACCGTTCGCGATTTCTGCAAACTTTGGTTGTAATCTTTCCGCGAAAGTCTACGCAAGTGAAAATCCATACAAATGTGGCGATTTTTTGGTTGGTTTTTAGCGCGAAAAACCCAGTGAAATCCGATAAGCTGGCATTAATCGAAGGTAAGATCTTGAATTTGATGTTTCTTGATAATTATAAATATTCCGGTGGTACCCAATGAGATCTGGTTATGAGTAACTCACAATCAGAGACAAAAAACTTTGAAAGTCGTTTCAATCTTATTATTTCGCCATATTTTAAAGACCAAATCGTGGCTCGAATGCGGCTCTAGTCTGTTAACTTCCCGGATGCGACCGGATATTCTACGCGATGTGTACTCTTTTCTTATGCAAACGCTTTCTTTTGTTCTAATAAATTCGCATAGATGCTGGCCACATGAGTGAAAACACTCTATACATGTGTATAAAGTCTTTAAGATACAAGTATTGCAATCAGCATATTTCAGATTTTGTGGCGACTGGCCTTGTAGAGTAAGCCTAACGTTTCCAATTTCGCGTCTCGGCTTTGCGTGCGGCTGCGGCGTGACCTCTCACCGACCACCCCCCTCACCCTGAAAAGACTGAGCTACAGTCTGCACTGGGACGCTTAACGTGTATTTTACACTGGTGTTAAGAACAATGACCTGGTGTTAACAGGGGTTTAATTCGCATACAGGTGAGATGAAATGGAGGAGTAACCATATAAGTGGAAACCGAATTGGTATCAACTACCTCTTCAACTATGTCTATCGATGAATCATCGATGGACATAGTCGATGCTCATTGATGATCATTGATGACATAGTTTGGAATGAGATTGACGACACCGAGCTGTTATTAACAGGGTTGATGTTTGTTCCCTTCACTCTTATTAGGCCAACCAGATGGAATTTTTATTCAAAAATATTTTTATTAAATAAAAGCCATTAAATTCCACAATATCCAACATAAATACCATTAGGAAAGCATAATTTATCAATACTCAATTTTTCCCTTTTGATCCATCCTTATTATAAATATTGTACATGAAAACCAGCCTCGAATATTATATGAAAACCTCATTGTTAAGGCTTACTCTCTTAAAAAAATCTTTTCAGTTCTTCATATTCTGCAATGTGATAGCCCTTATAGCTATTTAGGGTGATCACAGTGATCAGTGTTCATCTCAGTATATGATCACATCTGCCACCTCTATAAGACGGACACCTCCTGAAGCCAATGCCCAGTTTCTCCATTCTACTAGTCTGTTATTTTTTTGGCCCTCTATAGACCTCTTTCATAATTGCCGCCTATGAATAATGATGTTCCCAGTGGTATCCGTCTTAGAGAAAGTGAACTGTCTAGTACAATTGCAGTGCCACTTTCTGGGCTTTTACTGACTTAGTTTGGAAGCCTGGTCCTTGGACGCCGTTTCTCGAAACTCCTGACAATTAACCGGTCCAAAAAGTTGTTGATGTTTATATTCGTGATAAAGATTTTGATAGTTTCTTAGACAACGCCATAAATGAATGAATGAATGAATGAAGCGTTATTTAATCTTGGGTTTGATGAGGTTGGTGAGACCTCTAGCAAAAATATGCTAATAAGCCGAGGAAAAAAAAACAAACAAAAAACAAAACAAGTAAATTAATTAATAGAGAAAGAAAGGGAAATCCAAAAACTTATTTACAGTATAAAGCCTAAAATTACGTGACACAGCTATTTACAATAAAAAGCCCAGTTACTTGATAGAACACAGAAAATTATATAGAATTAGCTAGAACCTTAGCTTTGGGACTGCTTTTTTAAAAGCTGACAAAGCCATCAGTAAACAAAACAAAATGGACTAGTCGGCTATCTAGAACCCGTGCTCTTATCCTTTTAGATTTTGATTTGAATACTGTATTTCATTTCGGGCGACTTTCATGTTACATTTGATTCATCTTGATTGCATTCTAGAAGCAATTCCTTTTAGGTACCGTAGTTCATCTCTTTCGTTTAATACATCATTGTACAAAGCGTTGGTATGGATTTTTAGTCTGCGCAGAGTGTCTAGTACGTTACTAGCGTCCAGTTCAACGTTAATTTCGTCGTCATATTCGTCGAGCTCATAGTAATGAGCATTCAGACTTTTCCAGCTTGCGGTCAGCCGTCCTCTACTCAAGTGCTCGGTTTGGACCTGAAGCTTGTCTAAGCAGGGTGAGCTTCGATATGTGGAGGTCGTTGCATTATCACTCGGTGAACATTGTCTTCTCCTATCAATTAATACGGTGCCATCTTTCGTCTTCGCGCCATAAAATCCTAAAGACTCATTTTCGTCGGCGCTTTGGTCAAAGCATAGTTCCGGCTCCTCATTATCATCTTCAAAGAACAAATTTAATTGACTTTCCCTCAATTGTTCTCGTGTATCCTCTAGTTCTATACACAGGTCTTCTTTCTCTAACTGAAGTTTAGCAACTTCACGCTCGGAAATGTCGCGTCTTCTCTTTTCATCTTGAAGCTGCTTCTGTAGAACAGCCACCTTTTCTTCAAGTGATTTTCTCTCTTTTTCGTCCCNCTTGTCTAAGCAGGGTGAGCTTCGATATGTGGAGGTCGTTGCATTATCACTCGGTGAACATTGTCTTCTCCTATCAATTAATACGGTGCCATCTTTCGTCTTCGCGCCATAAAATCCTAAAGACTCATTTTCGTCGGCGCTTTGGTCAAAGCATAGTTCCGGCTCCTCATTATCATCTTCAAAGAACAAATTTAATTGACTTTCCCTCAATTGTTCTCGTGTATCCTCTAGTTCTATACACAGGTCTTCTTTCTCTAACTGAAGTTTAGCAACTTCACGCTCGGAAATGTCGCGTCTTCTCTTTTCATCTTGAAGCTGCTTCTGTAGAACAGCCACCTTTTCTTCAAGTGATTTTCTCTCTTTTTCGTCCCTTTTTCCTTTGTCTGGTGAGTCATGAGAATTCTTCCTTTGTTGTAGGCATTTTTTATTGCTCCGCTCCGCCAATCTAGACCTTTGCTGTTTTCCATTCAGTCTTCCGAGGGAAGAGCTCTTCCTTAGGGGCTCATCAAATAACCCATTTTGAATCTTTCTACGACACAAAGTATCCAGGCCATCAGCGCTTCCAAACTTCCGCCAACCATCTTCATGTTCCCATTCGAATTCTTCATTATCTGTGAGCATTAGCGCAAAACTCTCATGACTTCCTTGCGGTTGTTCCTTCTCTACCTCAGCCTCGCTTTCATCACTTGGATTCGAGTCATAATCGGGAAAAAGTCCCGAGCTGCTGGAGTCGCTGAACACTATAGAACTTCGCCTGATTTCTTCCAGTTCCTTCTTGGTATACCTGTGGCGTTTCTCCTCTTCAATGAGCCTCAATTTCAAGGACTGTGTTTCGTCAAGGTCGTTCTCTAGCTCTGATAACATGGCGCTAATTTCTGCAAATAGCAACAACAAACAGGGTTATTTCTGCGTTGCTGAACCTTAGATACGAGGGGTTCCTTAGACTACTGTACACAAATAACTGCAGTGTACAGTACTCAGTCGAAGAAAATTAAGGAAATTACCCTAAAAGCGGCTAGAAGACACAAGGCAACTATTGAATGAAGGCAAAATATACGCATACGGTGCCTTCCATTATCAAAAGGAAAAGTAACCACCTTAAAAATATATGGACGTCAACCCTAAGGATTATCTCAAAAGATTATCCCTCTCATAAGAAAGCTCTGCTTGGTTTATTCGAGTGACCTTTAGGATGACAAAATATATTAAGACTTCATTCACGGATTCATCTACGCGAGGTTAAAATTGTAATATAGGCCGATCTGTCTTCCTATTGGGCATAAAAATAATTTTTGAGCATGGCGTACGTGGCATAAATGTTGGTAAAAATTTAAAACGAATTGCTCTTCCTTAAAGTCACGAATATTATACTGTGGACGGACACTGAAAAAGCCACTTGAAGTCAACTAAAAAAAACACCCTCTGTCGTCTCTCTCAATCTGTAGAATGATGGTAAAAAATGGGACTTAGGAGTGATAATAAAATGGGTTATAGTGTGACTGATCTAATGTACAAACATGGTTACAGTTGGTCCTGCAGGAAATAAATAGAGGTCTCTCTCTCGCATTGTGGATTTTGGCAAGGATGTGGTTTTGTGCCGGAAATGGAAACAGAATCTCGATTGCGTGTTCTGAAAGCAAGAGATGTAATCGAGAAATATAGCACTGCATAAAATTATTTGTCAGTATTGCTTCTTAAATGAAGAAATAGCCATATTTTTAAGTGCTGAGAAATAAAGCTGTTTATACCTTTAGATGAGATACTACTGACTTTATATTGAAACCCATTTTATAAAAATATTAGGTTTCTAATTTCTGGCGACCTTAGTTTCTGATGGTTGTTTATCTCACGTTTTGATTTCCGGTCGAGTTCCCTAACGTCAGAAATAACACAAAAACTGACACTAATCAATAAGTTTCTTCACGATGTGGAACTTAATTCAAATTAAATATTTTGGAATGTAAGTTTCAAGACACCGTATTCACCAAAGAAAGGAATAGAAGGGAAAGTCGATTAATAACTATGCAGTAAATACGTTGGAGTTGCTTTCGAAGAGAAAGTTTTAGGTGCAAGTCACGACGCGTGAAGTGGTCATCTAATGAAAGCATAAAAAAACCGGAAAAAAACCTTAACACCTTGGAAATATCATAAACAGTTTTCATCGATTACGAAATCCTGGCGCAATTCAAGGCAAAATCAATAGAATAAAAATAGCCACCAAACCTTCTTCGTTGTAAACATCATCTTGAAGCAGCTCTCTTGCCAAGAAAGCCTGCACTTTGGACTTCAGCAAAGCTTGTAGTAACCGCCTAAACCCGTTTTCTCTTCTCTTTATAATATCTACAAATGTCGCCACTTGTGCTTCTCTTGACTTGTTCTTTTCTCGAATCGTCTCTACATCGTCATCGTCAAGAACACCAACGGTTTTAAGGTAGCGTAATAGTTTGGATGGCTCAAGACATTGCTCCAGTCTTAGGTAATGTAAATCTATTACACTGCATTCTTTAGGGTCCATTAAGAAGCTGAGAGGACAAAATACAGAACGTTATATCAGTCACGGCAACTCGAACGCCACATGTCATCAAACTAAAATAGCTTGCTTATGAAGTAGGACTCAGGTTCCTGGCAAAAATCGAAAAACGAGAGACCCTGGAACAGGAATGTAAAATTTGAAAATCGATTGAAAACGCGAATTTTTAAAAAGAGATTGCAGCTTTTCCAGTAATCTGACGCGATCCGCGTACTCTGTCTTTTTTCCTTCATGCTCCGTTACGATTCAAAACTGTGCCAATTAGCATGCATACTCACAATGTCTCAACTAGACTAATAGTATCTAGTAGTTAGATAGTTAGTAAATTCTACCGTATGAACAACAGCAAAAATTGACTCGCTTGTGCGTCAGACATATAACGGTTGGTCTAATGTGCTTCCATGCTGGTCTTGTCTGCAGACGCAGCCCGGAGTGCATCAAATGGATACAAAATTTGGCTTAATTCTGACGTCATTGAACATCATTTCTGAAATCGCCTGAGGATATATTTTTGTGAAGATCGTTTGAAATTAACAAAGACAATAAAAAGAAGCTGATGTGGAGGGCTGCGCTTAAAATAGCCTTAATTTTCCTGAGCAAACAGAAAGCGTATGATAAGAATCAGAAAAAAAATTCTTTGAAACCTTTTTCCAACACTCACAGCGCGTTGTTCTGGCTCTTATAGTAATCTCATGCTCCGTTAATTAATTGAGCACTAGTCAAAGCTTGGATGAAAGAAAACCGCAATAGCAAGAATATTTCTCCGCTCTCAAGGCCGACATAAACGCCGCAAAGGCAAGGAAACACACATCGGTAATAATATCGCACGTAAAGTACTTAATCGTGAATACAGGTGTAATCCCACCGTCTACATCATTAATTATACTTGCTTAATTTTAATAGCCTTTTTCGACTTTCAATGATTCTAATATTCGCCGGTGCTCTGCAAAAAATCTTTCCCAAAGTTACCTTTTTTTGCGGTGGTGGGGGGACGGGTTTACTGTATAATGGTGCTGTTGGACACTCGAGAGACACTGCGAGTCAGTACAGTAAAATATCCCGACTAACGTTTAGCTGTCTATTTTCGTTGCTTTTTCAAATTCAACTGAGTTAAATGGCCTCTCTTGAAAAGAGACCCAAAAATGCACGGTATTATCCCCTTTGCCATAACATTTGGGCCGTCTTACCTTTTCAAACGCAGTCCGTGTTTTACAAGCACCAGTGCACTTAAACAAACTCAGCAAGTTTCAGTTCTCGTTTTATAATGTATTAAAAGCGGATGCGGAAGACATAAGGTTCAAGAGGTCAGTCCCGTGCCCCGTAATAACGCAGGCGGCATTGTTGTTTTGTTGTTTATATGGCTTTTTTGCACGATCGTCGGAAAACGCAAGACACCATATATAGCATATAACACATAATTGGGCCTTCTATTAAATGAAATGAAGAAGCGAATCGCCTGGATTTGAGAAACCTGTAAATAAGGCGGCTGCATTCAATTTGCTGGCTAGTGTTCCATGGTTTTTTCTTTTTAATTTTGAAATCCATCCCGCACTTTAAGTTTCTAAAGAGTTTCTAAAGAGTTATTTGTGTAATCCGTGTTTTACGAGCCCCAGACTTACCAAGTTTCAGTTCTCATTTTAGAAGGTATTAAAAGCAGATGCGGAAGACGTAAGGCTCAAAAGGTCAGTCCCGTGCCCCGTAATAACGCAAGCGGCGTATTTTAGCGGCATTGTTCTTTTGTTGTTATTCTTTTTTGCACGTCACATCGTCGGAAAACGCAATATAAACTATGTCGCATATAACACCTGCTTGGGCCTTCTATTCTATGAAATGAAGAAGCGAATTGCCTGGATTTGAGAAACCTGTAAATAACAGGGGCACCCAATGTCAATTTTCGGAAAATATCTGTTCGGAACTTTTTTGTGAAATTTCTTGCTTGCCTGCCTCTCTTAGGATTTTCGAACATCTAAAAAATGGTATAATTGCCCATTTTTAACGGACTTTTACCCTAAAGAGGTCTCGTAGAATTTTCGGGAGCCTTTTTTCTGGCTGAAATTTTCGAAGAGGTGAGTTTTGATCCCTATAATTGTCGGATCACTAGGCTTTCAGCTAGGAAATCCGAACAGATGAAAAATTTTTAGGAGATAAAAATATGCCTATATCTACCGTTTAAATACTAAAATATGTTTAACAATGCTACGTTTAAGATGTTTGGAACTATATATTCTCGTTGGGTGCCCCTGAAATAAGGCGACTGCTTTCAATTTGCTGGCTAGTGTTCCATGGTTTTTCTTTTTAATTTTGAAATCTATCACGCACTTCAAGTTTCTAAAGAGTTATTTGTTTACTTGAGAAAACCAGTCATAGAAAAGCAGTGAACCAAGACGCGCGTGCCACTACCGCTCCCAAGAACGTGACCTTAGAAGGCCTATCGATACGTGTCGATATGACGTTTTGTTAAATGTTAGTGCAAACAAGGTAAAGAATAGGGGACGCGAAGGAAGCGTTATTTTAGTCGTTAGCCTGAGTAACGACCGCGTGCCTCTTGAATTCACCATACATGTCTCCCAGGATTGCTCTTTGCGCCGCCATGTCGGGTTGCGTTTCTGTTCACACATCAGAACGCAATTTAGGCGCAGTTTCTGTAATGGAGCGAAGTTTGGCCGCGCCGATCTTAAAACTGCTTGGATCGTCACAGATCGGATACGTTTCTGTGCTACTGTTTGGCGCAAAGTGACCTCGTAGTTTTTTCGCTTTGTTGGTAAACAAATGGTGAACTTAAGACAAGCTTCTGTCTAAAATGTTATAACTAAACCCCTTTTAAAATTGATCTGAGAAGTTAATAGCTCTCGTTAGTCTTCTTTAATCAATCATCAGATTCGCAGAGCAGCTCTACTTCCCCATCCCTCTCGAAGCGTTAGCAGGGTCCCAATACTTGGGGTATGCAATTTGCAGTGAAAGTACACTCTTATCCCTTCATTAACACTTTAAATATTTCATAATGGACCGTAAAACTATGTCTTGAAGTGCTTGTAACTTGAAATATGTTATCTGAGGCATGTTGCAATACCCCTTTATTTTATAAGCTAAACATATTGATTTTTCATGGCCTTGAAGCCGTCCTTAAGCATGTAATACTCTGGAATACATTGAAAACCCAATTTCGTAACTCGTCCGTGTCGCAATTCCATCGGTGAAATGACAATTAAAGCAGGAACCTTCATTAACTTTGATTTGACTTTTTTAAACTGAGTTCCGATCTAATTTTACATGTTAGCAAGTTTAACGCTTGACTCACCTGATTTCGTCCTACCTACTTTTAGTACGTACATGCGGAAGACTTAATCTGTCTCGCCTGGGGCTCTTGCTCTCAAAAAATAATCAACTTGAAATGACATACCTGAATGAATAAGGAATCCACGTGCGTGCATAATATATTGCACGNAAAGCAGGAACCTTCATTAACTTTGATTTGACTTTTTTAAACTGAGTTCCGATCTAATTTTACATGTTAGCAAGTTTAACGCTTGACTCACCTGATTTCGTCCTACCTACTTTTAGTACGTACATGCGGAAGACTTAATCTGTCTCGCCTGGGGCTCTTGCTCTCAAAAAATAATCAACTTGAAATGACATACCTGAATGAATAAGGAATCCACGTGCGTGCATAATATATTGCACGTTTTCATTGTTCTTATGGTAATCATTCTCCACAAAACATCACTCTCTTTTAAGCACAAAAAATACACATAACAATGGAATGGTAAGACAAAAAGACCTGAGAAAGTGACAATTGTCTTTGAAAACACAGACACCAAGAGGGTAGGGATTCCTACGTTGTAAGCAGTATATCAAATATGACTAATATAATAGTAATAGTCTAAATGCCAATTTTCTATATATTTAATTTTTGAAATCGCCCTCCTATCACATAGCTCCATCCTGTCCATCCTGTGTGAATGGTTCGCAGTGCTGCTGGTCACGTAGAGAAATCCTGCCCCCTTTGCAAGAGTGAGACTACAGTTTGAGCAAAATGGCTCCATTTATTTTTTTCAAATGCAGTCAATTTCTCACCTGCGAGACAAATCTGAATAAAACATCTCTCTCTTTTAAAAGCGCTTCGAGTTTTAGAATAATTCTTTTCTTCACGAGCTGATAAAAACAAAATAAAGCACCCTCCCCCTTTGCCGCTACACCTCAAACTGAATAGAAGAAATTGTCACATAAAACAGAAAGAAGTTTTCACGTGTCCGATACACCAAAAGTACCCCTTGTTGATATTTTTGATGTAAAGGCTGGTAATATTTAAAAAAAAAACCTTTCAATTGAAAATTTCTGTCGCGAGAAAATCTCAGATTCATTAAAGTCTGGTTCTTTAAGTTTCCATCAGCACTTTTCTCTGAAACTGGTTTTACTGGTTAAGATCACGCAAATACTACTCAGTCCATCTTCATTCAGTTCTAGCTTAACTACGATTATCAGAAAAAAAAGGCCTGTCCTAGATTTTAGCAAGGCAGTTGCTGTACAGATTTGCGTGGATGTGATGCTTGTTCTTGTTTTTCTTCATGTCTTTAAATGTCCCTCTATATTTTACGGTCTCGATCTGTGATGGGTTTTCCATATTGAAAAGTGAAACATCTACACCTGAATGTTTGCGTGAAAAATGAAACTGCTATCCACAACACCAGCACCACAACAAACTTATCGCTGACTTCCTTTTCTTGTTTACCGGTGCCTCTCTCTGTTCCGGCCATTCTTCGTTGTCAAAGCTGGGTTTAATAGGCTCTTTGAGCTTGAGCTTTGTATTGTTATTAGTCATTTGCACCACTGGCTGATTATTATCTGCGGGGTCATCCTGGAGATAAAATCCATCATGAACTTCAACATTTGCCTCGTGACGCACTGGAGCTTCCTTTTGCACTGGTCTGTCTTGACAATCACCTTGCAGTGGAACTTCATTTTCCTTGCACTTGGAAAGGATTGGGTCTGTCGTGTTTGTTTGCTTGCTGCTGGTTTTATCAAACTCATCGGAATCAGCTGTCACCCGGCTGCTTGCGCTAAAACAAATATCTTTAATCATCGTTTCGATGCTTTCTGTTTTGTCAATGACTTCCTGTTCCACCACATTTTCACCGACAATGTCATCTTTCTGTAGCTCTTTTTGCTGCTGCACTTGGTTGCTGTCAGGGTTTTCGAGTGACTTTTCTTCGTAGTCGCAGCTAGACCTTAGGGTTTCTTTAATCTTAAGCTCTTCAAGCTCAGAATCTTCAAGCCTGGCTTCTTCATTTTCACCAATTTCTTGCAGCACTGGCGGCTCTTTCTGTGTAGGGTCATCCTGCTGGTCATGTTGATCAAGATCCTGCACTTCGTCGAGATGCACTATTTTCTGTTCATGCATTGACGGACCTTTCTCTTTTACTTGTTTGTCTTGGGAATCAAATTCCTCTATCTTAGTCGCTTTTAGCTTTGGCTCTTGATTTTCACTAGTTTCCGGCTGCACAATAAGATCTTTGTCTGTAAGATCACCATACTGATGTTGTTGAATCAGATCTTTATCCAGCAGTTCTTCAAGAACTTTCTCTTCATGACCCACCAAAGATATCTCTCGTTCTTGCTGCTCTTGAAAGTCATCATCATCGGAAGAGGCATTCACTAAGTTATTTAGGCTAACGAAGGCATCTTCTTCATTTATTGTTTCCAAGCTTTCTGTTTTGTCACTGTCTGCTTGTTCCACAACACTCCCACCGTTAACAGCGTTATCTTCTTGCATCTTTTTTTCGTTCTTCACCTGCTCCCTTTCAAGATTTTCGAGTAACCTTTCTTCGAAGTTACAGCTTGATTCAAGAGGTTCCTTACGCTCCAACCCTTCACGCTTGCGTTCTTCCTTTCCCTGCAGCACGGACTGGTTTTTGCTGGTAAAGTCATTTTGCTGGAATTGTCGATCGAGATCCTGCATTTTGTCCGGATGCATAACTTGCTCTTTATGACCCACGAGAGCTTTCTCTTGTACTTGTTTTACTGGAGAATCATCTTGTGTTGCAACTTCCTTTTGTTGCCTCTCAAGGCATTCGAGTGTTCTGTCTTCGTTGTTAGAAAAGGATTTCAGAGGCTCTGCAATCTTCGAGGCATGAAGCTTAGGCTTTTCATTTTCACTAGTTTCTTGCAACACTGACTGATCTTTGTTTTTAGAGTTGTCAGGTTTGATATGTCGATCATGATCCTGCATTTCGCCAGGATGAAGAGATCTCTCTTCATAAGTTAGTGGAACTTTCTCTTCCACTTTTTTTTCTTCAAAATCATTTTGCGTTGCAGCTTCTTCTTGCCGTTCAAGGTATTCGAGTGAACTTTCTTTGTAGTCAGGGTTTATTTTCAGTCGCTCTTCAATCTTATATTGTTCAAGCGTCGTCTGTTTACTTTCACCAGTTTCTGGCAGCACCGACTTTGACTGAGCATTGTTTGAAGGATCGCCGTGCATAGCATGTCCATCATAATCCTGTATTGTTCTGAGATGCAAAACTTCCTCTTCATGACTCACTGGGGCTTCCCCTTGTACCTGTTGAGAGTCATCTTGCGTTGCAACCACGTCTTTTTTGTTCTTGGGAAGGACTGGCTCTTTCTTGTCTGTTTGCTTACCGTTAGATATCCTTAACTCATTAGAATTAGTTATCTCTTGATTATTTACGATAACGACCGCATCGTCTTCAATTATTGTTTGGATGCTTTCTGTTTGGTCAGTGACTGGTTGTTCCACTAAACTCTCAACTTCCACAGCCTCATTTTGTAGTAGCTCTTTTTTCTCCTGTACTTGTTGCCTCTCAGTGTGTTTAAGTGACATTTCTTCGTTGTCACAGTTGGATATCACAGGGTCGTCGAGGTCAGACCCTTCACGCTTAAGCTNTCATTTTCACTAGTGTCTTGCAACACTGACTGATCTTTGTTTTTAGAGTTGTCAGGCTTGATATGTCGATCATGATCCTGCATTTCGCCAGGATGAAGAGATCTCTCTTCATAAGTTAGTGGAACTTTCTCTTCCACTTTTTTTTCTTCAAAATCATTTTGCGTTGCAGCTTCTCCTTGCCGTTCAAGGTATTCGAGGGAATTTTCTTTGTAGTCAGGGTTTAATTTCAGTCGCTCTTCAATCTTATATTCTTCAAGCGTCGTCTGTTTACTTTCACCAGTTTCCGGCAGCACCGACTTTGACTGAGCATCGTTTGAAGGATCGCCGTTCATAGCATGTCCATCATAATCCTGTATCGTTCTGAGATGCAAAACTTCCTCTTCATGACTCACTGGGGCTTCCCCTTGTACCTGTTGAGAATCATCTTGCGTTGCAACCACGTCTTTTTTGTTCTTGGGAAGGACTGGCTCTCTCTTGTCTGTTTGCTTACCGTTGGATATCCTTAACTCATTAGAATTAGTTATCTCTTGATTATTTACAGTAACTACGGCATCGTCTTCAATTATTGTTTGGATGCTTTCTGTTTGGTCACTGACTGGTTGTTCCACTAAACTCTCAACTTCCACAGCCTCATTTTGTAGTAGCTCTTTTTTCTCCTGTACTTGTTGCCTCTCAGTGTGTTCAAGTGACATTTCTTCGTTGTCACAGTTGGATATCACAGGGTCGTCGAGGTCAGACCCTTCACGCTTAAGCTCTTTAGTTTCGCCAGTTTTTTGCAGCTCTGAGTTTTTGTTTCTACGGTCATCGTGCTGATCATGTCGATCATAATCCTGTATTTTTTCCTGATTGATACATTTCACTTCAAAACTCATTGGAGCCTTCTCTTGCTCTCGCTTGCCTCGAGAATCATCTTGGCTTGCAACCACTCCTTCTTGCCTCTCAGTGTGCTCGAATGAGTTTTCATCGTAGTTAGGGCTGGATTTCAGAGTCTCTTCAATCTCAGACACTTCAGGCTTCCGCTCTTTATTTTCACCATTTTCTTCGAACACTGACGACTCTTTAATTGTAGGATGAACCGGCTGATCATGTCGATCACGATATTGCATTTCGTCGAGATTCCCATTTTTCTCTTCATGACTCAATGGACCTTTCTCTTCAACTTGTTTTTCTTGGGAATCACCTTCCGTTGCAACTTCCTCTTGTTGCCCCTCAGTATACTCTTCATGATCAGGGCTGGATTTGAGAGGCTCTTCAATCTTAGACACCTCACGCTTGGGCTGTTCATTTTGACCAGTTTCTTGCAACAGTAACGGCTCCTTGTTTGTGGGGACAACCTTCTGATCATGACGATCACGATCCTGCATCTCGTCGAGATGCCCATTTGTCTGTTCGTGACTTAATGGACCTTTCTCTTTGATTTGTTTTTCTTGGGAATCACCTTCCGCTGCAACTTCCTCTTGTTGCCCCTCACTATACTCCAGTGAGCTTTCTTCGTGGTCAGGGCTGTATTTGAGAGGCTCTTCAATCATAGACACTTCAGGCTTTGGTCCTTTATTTTGCTCAGTTTCGTCCAACACTGACAGCTCGTTGTTCGTAAGGTCATCCTTCTGATCGTGTCGATGACGATCCTGCATTTCGTCAAGATGCACAATTGTCTGTTCATCACTTAATGGCTCTTTCTCTTTGACTTGTTTTCCTTGGGAATCACTCTTCGTTGCAACTTCCTCTTGTTGCCCCTCACTATACTCGAGTGAGCTTTCGTCCTCGTCAGGGCTTGATTTCAGAGGCTCTTCAACCATAGGCATTTTAGGCTTTGGCTCTTTACTTTGCCCAGTTTCGTCCAACACTGACGGCTCTTTGATTGTAGGGTTATCCTTCAGATCATGTAGATCACGATCCTGCATTTTGTCGATATTCCCATTTTTCTCTTCATGAGTCAATGGACCTTTCTCTTTTACTTGTTTGACTTGGTAATGACCTTCCGGTGCAACGTCCTCTTGGGGCCTTTCAGTACACTCAAGTGAGCTTTCGTCGTGGTCACGGCTCAATTTCAGAGGATTTTCAGTCTTAAACATTTCAGGCCTCGGCTCTTCATTTTGACCAGTTTCTTCCAACGGTGACGGTTCTTTGTTTGTAGGATCAACCTGCTGATCATGTGGATCCCGATACTGCATTTCGTCGAAATTCCCATTTTTCTCTTCATGACTTAATGGACCTTTCCCTTCAAATTGTTTTTCTTGGAAATCACCTTCCGTTGCAACTGTCTCTTGTTGCCCCTCAGTAAACCTGAATGAACTTTCTTCCTGGTCAGGGCTGGATTTCAGGAACTCCTCAATCTCAGACACTTGAGGCTTGGGATCTTCATTTTGATCAGTTTCTTCCAAAACTACCGGCTCCTTGATTGTAGTGTCATCCTTCTGATCATGTCGATCACCATCCTGCATTTCGTCGAGATGCCCATTTATCTCTCCATGACTCAATGGACCTCTCTCATTGACTTGTGTTTCTTGGGAATCACCTTCCGTTGCAACTTCCTCTTTTTGCCCCTCAGTATACTTGAGTGAACTTTCCTCGTGGTCCGGGCTGAATTTCAGAGGCTCTTTAATCTTAGACACTCCAGGCTTGGGCTCTTCATTTTGACCAGTTTCTTCTAACACTGACGGTTCTTTAATTTTAGGGTCAACCTGCTGATCATGTCGATGACGATACTGCATTTCGTCGAGATTTCCGTTTTTGTCTTCATCACTCAATGGACCTTTCTCTTCCACTCGTTTATGTTGGGAATCACCTTCCGTTGCAAGTTCCTCTTGTTGCCCCTCAGTATACTCGAGTAAGCTTTCTTCACGGTCAGGGCTGGATTTGAGAGGCTCTTCAATCTTAGACACTTCAGGCTTCGGCTCTTCATCTTTACCAGTTTTTTCGAACACTGACGGCTCTTTAATTGTAGGGTCAACCTGCTGATCATGTCGATCACGATCCTGCATCTCGTCGAGACTTCCATTTTTCTCTTCATGAATCAATGGACCTTTCTCTTCAACTTGTTTTTCTTGGGAATCACCTTCGGTTGAAACGTCCTCTTGTTGCCCCTCAGTATACTCGAGTGACCTTTCTTCATGGTCAGGGTTGGATTTGAGAGGCTCTTCAATCTTAGACACTTCAGGCCTCGGCTCTTCATTTTGACCAGTTTCTTCCAACGGTGACGGTTCTTTGTTTGTAGGATCAACCTGCTGATCATGTGGATCCCGATACTGCATTTCGTCGAAATTCCCATTTTTCTCTTCATGACTTAATGGACCTTTCCCTTCAAATTGTTTTTCTTGGGAATCACCTTCCGTTGCAACTTCCTCTTGTTGCCCCTCAGTATACTCGAGTGAGCTTTCTTCACAGTCAGGGCTGGATTTGAGAGACTCTTCTATCTTAGACACTTGAAGCTTGGGATCTTCATTTTGATTAGTTTCTCCCAAAACTGGTGGCTCTTTGATTGTAGTGTCATCCTTCTGATCATGTCGATCACCATCCTGCATTTCGTCGAAATTCCCATTTTTCTCTTCATGACTCAATGGACCATTCTGTTTAATTTGTTTTTCTTGGGAATCAACTTCGGTTGAAAAGTCCTCTTGTAGTCCCTCAGTATACTTGAGTGAGCTTTCTTCATGATCAGGGTTGGATTTGAGAGGCTCTTCAGTCTTAGACACTTCAGACTTTGGCTCTTCATTTTGACCAGTTTCTTCCAACAGTAACGGTTCTCTGTTTGTAGAGTCAACCTGCTGATCATGCCGATTACGATCCTGCATTTCGTCGAAATTCCAATTTTTCTCTCCATGAATCAATGGACCTTTCTCTTCAACTTGTTTTTCTTGGGAATCACCTTCCGTTGCAACGTGCTCTTGTTGCCCCTCAGTATACTCGAGTGAGCTTTCTTTATGATCAGGGCTGGATTTCAGAGGCTCTTCAGTCTTAGACACTTCTGGCTTGGGCTCTTCATTTTGAGCAGTTTCGTGCAACACTGGCGGCTCTCTGTTTGTAGGGTCAACCTTCTGATCATGTCGATCACGATCCTGCATTTCGTCGAGATGCCCATTTTTCTGTTCGTGACTCAGTGGACCTTTCTCTTTTTCGGATTTGACTTGGTAATGGTCTTCCTTTGCAACGTCCTCTTGTGGCCTTTCAGTACACGCGAGTAAGGTTTCTTCTTGGTCAGGGCTGGATTTCAGAGGGGCTTCAATCTTAGACGCTTTGAGCTTGTGCTCTTTATTTTCATCAGTGTCTAGCAACGGCGACAGATCTTTCTTTGTAAGGACATCGCACTGATCTTGTCGATCTTTATCCTGTATTTCTTCAACAACTTTCTCTTCCTGGCCCACGATAGCTTTCTCTCGTACTTCTTCTTTAGAATCATCATCATTATCGGAAATAGTTTCCCCTTGGTTGTTTAGGCTCACAGAGGTATCTTTTTCCATTATTGTTTCCAAGCTTTCTGTTGTTTCACTGACTGCTTGCTCCAGCACAATCTCGCCGTTGACAGTGTTACCTTCCCGTAGCTTTTTTCGATCCCGTACCTGTTCCTTTTCAGGCTGTTCGAGTGAACTTTCTTGGAAGTCATTTCTGCATGTAAAATGTTCCTTACGCTCAGACCCATCACCCTTGCGTTCTTCCTTTTCACCAGTTTCTTGCAGAGCTGAAGGATTTTCGTTGGTACTGTCATTTTGGCGATCGTGATTCTGTATTTCGTGAGGATGCACAACTTGCTCCTTTTTATCCACGACAGCTGTCTCTTGAATTCGCTTGACTTGATAATCTTCTCTGTAATCGTCTTCGTAATCAGGGCTGGATTTCAGAGACTCTTCGATGTTAGCCACTCTCGATTTGGCGTGTTTATTTTCACCAGCATCTTTCAGCGCTGACTTTTCGACGTTTCCATGATACTTTATTTTGTTGGGATACACAACTTTCTCTTCACGACTCTCTGAAGCCTTCTCTTGCATTTGTTTCCCATGAGAATCATCTCCTTGTTTGTATTTGGGAAGAATTGACTCCCTCTTGTCTGTTTGGTTACCGGTAAATTTTCCTAACTCATCGGAACTAGTTATCCCTGGGTTATTTACGCTAACAGCGGCACCTAATTCAGTTATCGTTTGGCTGCTTTTTGTTTTCTCAATAACTGCTTGTTCCACCAAATATTTAGCGTTCACAGCGTCATCTTGCTGCTCTTCTATTTGCTTCTCACCTTTTTGCCTCACAGGGTGCTCGATGGACTTTTCCTTGTAGTCAGAACTGCATTCCAGACCCTTGTCAAGCTTACTCCCTTCAAACTCATACCCTTCACGGTTAAGTTCTTCTTTTCCTTCAGATTCTTGCAGCAATAATCGATTTTTGTTCAAAGAGTCGTCGTGCTGGTCTTGTCGTTGGCGATGCTGCATTTTTTCGAGATACACAACTTTTTCTTTAGCACCCAATGGAGTTTCCTCTTTGTCTTGTCTGCCTTGATCATTCTCCTGCGCTGTCCCTTGGTGCCTTTCAGGGTACTCGAGTAAACCTGCTTTACTGTCAGGGCTGTATTTCAGAGGCTCTTCAGTTATAGAAGCTTCAGGCTTGGACCTTTCACTTTCTCCAGTTTCTTTCAGCACCGTCTGTTCTTTGTTTTTAGGGTCATCATTCCTATCATGTCGACCATGATACAACATTTTGTTGGGTTGCACAACTTTCTCTTCATGACTCACTGGAGCTCTCTCTTGGACTTTTTCCTCTTGAGAATCACCCTGCTTCACAATTTCGCCTTCCTTGTACTTTGATATAATTGGCTCTTCCATGTCTTTGTTCTTACAGGTGGATGTTCCCAGCTCATCAAAATTAGTTATCTCTCGGTTATTTACTCTAACAGACGCATCTTCTTCTGTAATTGTTTCACTACTTTCTGCTTTTTCACTGACTACTTGTTCTTCTAACGAACTGCCATCGTTTACAGCATAATCTTCTTGCAGCTCTTCTTGCTCCTGTACCTGTTGATTGTCAAGTTGTACATGTTACGTTTCCGGGCAGAGAGTTACCTATTCCCTAACAATCTTCCTGAACCTCGGTGGACTATTTAAGAACTGACCACTAGCACTCAACGGAAATATATAAAGATTACATGCTATTTGATGGCCAATAATGTTACTTGACTACATAACTTTTCTGAGAACGTGGAAGATATTGAACAGCTTATAAATCTTATATTATTCATTCAAAATATTTCTCCGTTTCTGATTGGCTAAAATCACACGCATGATTCATCGTAACCAGTTATTGTCTACCAAATATGGAAGAATTTTGTCGTATTGAACTGATGACGTCAAAAGTGCAGCAAAGTTGTAGATTATTAAACCCTTAACCTAGTAGACCCGGTTACGAGGTTGAGTTGTTTTGGTTGTGACTTCAAAATGGCGGAACGTTTCACTCTTTTCAAGAGTAAGAAATAGGCGAACTATCTGAAAACTTTGGATCAAATTTTACTAAAAGAAGTGAAAATAGACGATAGTTTTATTCTAACCCTACTGCGAAGGAACAAGGCGCTTTTTTATTGTGGTATATCTGAACGTTGAAACGTTGTTACGTGGCTTAATCGTTCGCCTCACTGAAAATATTTACTTATATCAGGGAAAATGTATGTGCATAGGAACTTTTTGTAGCGAGAAAGTATCAGGTCCTCCTTAAGTACATACGTGCTTGCGCGCAGATAAAACAAATTTTTTACCTATTATGGGTGTCTTCCCTAATAAAGACGTTTGCTGCTATAAAAATTAAATTAGTAAACTTTCTAGAATAAGAATGTCCTCAGTAATGCTTTCTGTCTATTGTTACAAGAGGGGCTACCTCTTATCAAAAAGGAAACGTGTTTTATAGTTGAGGAACAGCTTAACTGAAAAGGAAAAATCTCTTGTAATGGGTACAGTAGGTTTAGTAACAGCCTATCACAATCGGGGGCTTAAGTGTATTTGACGGCTTCTTGGAAATAAAAACGCTCCTGAATGAATGAATACACAAAGGAGCTAAGCTATGGATAGCTTTATTGTCCTAGCTGTAACATTTTGCATCCTTTGCAGCTTATTTAGCTGATAGGCTGGCAAGCCCCAAAGTAACCTAAGACTTAAATCTACACGACTAGAATCAAGTGCGTGAAAGTCCTTCTCAGTGGACAGTACAAAGATGTACTACCGATGGCATTGTGAAATCCACAGTTAAATATGAAGGTTGATTTGAGTACGTATTGTTCATGAGGAAAAGGGTCATAAACTAAGCTATGATGTCACAAAAGCAACACGTAAAATTTCCTACCTTCACCTTGCTCTGGCGTCACTGATTTTTTACATTACTTCGCGCGGAATTGGTTTAAATTCACCTTGAGCTTATTGGCACGTGTTTTTAATTTGGCTAAGCTTAAGACTACCTGTCAACATAACAAGCAGGCTTCAGATGGACTGTGTAGAGAGGTACTGAACAAACCCTCTAATGACCTTCTCTAAATCAGCATCTTAACTATCAGAGTTAAATATAAAGGCTGAATTTACGTCCGGAGTTTTTATTCATGTTAAACATTTGGCTGTTGGCTTTGGAGGACATGCGAACAATCCTCCCAGCTCTTCGTCATATGAACTAGATTTCTTAGGCTCTTTAAGCTTGGGTCGTAATTTTTGAATTTGCTGGCTGGATTTGGTTAGCCACAGTTTCTTTCTTTACTATTTTGGCCTCAGTGGTATGATATAAAGAAAGACCGCTTAATTAAGCCAGATATTTAGTGTATATTTTGGATCTCTTCCACCTTCAACTTTTTAGTTACTTCAGTGAGTCGGTTTTCTTTAATATACAAATGAAAAACTAATTGATTGATTGAAAGTCGCAGCTGCCACTAGCTGCCCGACTAATAAATAAGTAAATTAATTAATGTAATTAATTGATTACAATTGAACTTGAACTTACCTTTATTCTTTTGTAAATTCACTTTAACTTTTTGTTATGCCTGGTACCATAAATTGTTGTTGTTATCATGTAGCATAAATAAAATCATGGTTGATGCACTTTACGTAATTTGTCCTCGAGAATAGCTTGGTTGTAAATAACTAATTGGTTAGTTTTTTGAAAAGCTAGTCTCCTGGGACCCTCCACTTTCATACGTGAGGAATAATTCACCCGATTATTTAAAAAGCCTAAGATGTTTGTATTTTCGCAACTTTGTAGTTCTTAATTATGAGACTGAAATTAATTTAATTTTACACGTACAACATTTTCATGTCTTGTATGATCCCTTTTTATAACACCAGTTAGCACTTTGTCTAATATAAAATTATCAATTTATCCTTTCCCCCCCAATTTTTGTAGTTCTATCGAAACTTGCAAGACTCCGGTGAGAGCCTGCACTGAGGTCGTTGCTCATCTACTTTGGATAACTTGACAGGTCTGAAGGCTGGCACTTAGCTTAGGTAACTTTTTTTGTCAAACTAATATCGAATCACGCCTTTGCTGTAACTAATTTGCTTTGGCGGTTAAAAGTGGGTATTAATTCTATCAATTATTTGAGTTATCTAACGTGTTATGGTGGGCATATTCTGGATGTGAAAGCTGTACAACATTATAATTGTTTTGCTTCACTAAGTGGAAAAAATCCACAGAAAATTCCCAAAATGCAAAAGATACTCTTCGCATCTAAAATGAACTGAGGCGAACAAACCTACTAACAAGCTTTCACTAGAATGCTCTCGCCAAAGTATTTGATAGACTAGTCTTGAAAGAGTAGAAACGGTCAGGACACAAAATATAATTAACAGCTGACAGTTCTACCCTTATTGTACCCGGAAGGAAATAATAAAAAAAAAACGCTTGCACGAAGGTTAGATATAAAGTCGCTCAGTGGGCTGCGTTGAGGGCAAACTTTCAGAGATTAATGAAAATAAGACATAATTAAAGACGTAAAAATGATCTGTCGGAGGATGAAAAGAAAAAATTGCAAAATGGCTTTTATTTCGTTTATTTTTAACCGAGCTCTAATAAAAATGTTGGCGTTGAAAAGTACGTTAGCATTGCAAAATCAAATTAAAGGCGTCAGAGAGAATGTATTGTGTAAAGCTGGTAAACCTTATAGCCTTTTTAGGGCAGTTCGACTGAGTTTGTTCTCTTATCTAAACTGTCAATAGAACAGGGAACCGTAACAACCTCTATTTTCAGTAATCTTGTTCTTTCTATTTCGTTTCTCTTCCCTTATCTGCCCACAGTTCTTCTTCAGCTAAATCAGATAATGTATGTGTTACAAGAAAATTAGCTCAGTAAACAGCCCTAACAAGGCTTAGAGTTGACCGGCTGTCGGCTGCAAAATCATGCCTGAAGATCATTTTGCAAATTATTCATCGAATTGTTCTTTTCATCTTCCGACTGATTATTTCATGTTATGTGCTTTGTATAACCAGGGTCTGGGATTAGTTCTTCTTTTTATTCAGTTTATTTTTGTGTGCATATATTTTGGGAAACAAAAATTCGTATACTTTATTTAAATAGGGTAAAGGTTTTGGGAATCACGCCTCAACCCCTCCCCCAACCCATCTTAATTTTCCAGGAGGTCATTTGGTCCATTGTTAATACACTGTGATATTTGTTAGCAGCTGACGCACTTTGTAGCTCAGAGGTTAATCCTAAGTTTGACTTTGATGTAGTTTCCACAATAGAGGTCTTTCGAGCTTCTGCCCAGCGCGCATTAAGAATAATCTAGCATCATATAGTCGCTATTCACTTTAAGGTCGTAAACCGCCTAGACTGGTCGATACTTAACTAAATGCGCGATAGTTTTTCCGGCCGAACTGGTCTTCCACCACCCGAGGGATGCAGTATCGGTTAAGGTTCAGTAAAAGAATGATTTCACCCCCCACCCCACTAGTTTTTGACGTTACTATTGGAAAGGCGGTGATCAAAAGACCCTTCCACTGTTTTTTCAAATTTGACTGGCATCAGTTAGCGAAAATCCGTCAATACAGCTGAAAAGAACGTCTAAACATTAGTAAAGATGCCAAGTTTCAATGTGATTTGTTCAAAACTAACGCAACGTCACCGAATTTTACAACGTTTGTATGGAGGCGACAAGTTCGTGCCCCCACCATACAAACATCATTGTGGAGCAATATCTTCTTACGCTTTTAACATATCACCTTCAAAACGGGTGTCAAGAATTTCCTAATTTGAAGACGTTCTCTAATTTCAAGCAGTGACAATGAATATTCGTTAACTGGACTTTATCAAAACTTGAAAAAATCTGTGGAAGAGTCTGCTATAGGAAAAAAATTTCAGACACGGAGACAGTAACATACTGAATATTGATCCAACCCAGCTTTAATCTGTAAACTGAAATATAACTAAACGATATGTTACAGCCAGTCCTATTCTTAAGCGCTATTAAAGTGCGAATATTCCCTATTTTGCCGTTTATAAAAGTGACTAGTTACTGATTCATCCTAAAAAATAACAGCAAAGTCTCCGCCATATTGAGACTTAAAATCTTGAGTAGAGTTCTGTGCACTGAGCAAACAGGGTCCAAGTCTCTATCTACATGTTTTTGCCTTGATTAAAATCAGGTTAACTCTCCGAACTAGACGGTCTAGTAACAGCTAAGCCGTTTAGTCTCTTTGGACAATAACGGATACGTGCTTAATACGAGCTCTCCACTAACTAAAACACCCAACTTCTCTACAAGCATGAACCCATTATCGTGAGAAAGAGAAGGCTTTTTGGAAGCCCGTAAGCTTACATTGAGGTCTCAAAATTAAAAAAAAGGTTTAGAAAGTACACCCAAGTATGTCTACCGCAACAAACTACGATAAAGCTTCAAAATATCCGTTACGTAGACGTTTAAACTTGAAAACTACTAAAATACATACGAGGCGTTATCTAAACTTCGAAAATGACTCTTGACTTCGAGAGTTCAATGCAAAATCATGAAAACTACAGAACACAAAACACTTCTACACTCATAAGAAAAACAATTTTCAGCTCCATAAAAGTTAATATGCATACTCGGTTTTCATTGTATCTATAATTGGTGAAACATCAACGTCCCTGGAGGAAAGCCCGAAACTGAATATTCTTTCTAAGACGTCTTTCAGTTGGGATTTATATTTCGTTTTTACAACCAGCCAACCAACATAGTTTTAAATGGCATAGAATATTAGCAAAAAAGCCAGTGCCTCGTATTTAAAAAAAAGAGAAAGAAAGCTGATAACTTTATACCTACTGATCAGAACAATCTGAAAGCCCCTCATGTTTGCAAGTTTAAAGATGCTTGTGAAACTGAAAACTTTTACTTTCGCCTCTGTAACGTGTTACATTATATTCTGCGGTCTCGATTAGGGATGCGTATTCTAGATTAAACAGCGAAATATCTATACCAGTGGATTTTTGTTGCAGAAACATAACATGACCCTGCTATCTAATATTTAAGACAACAACAAAACCGTCTGATCATGGAACTCATTAACGATGCCTCTTTCTGTTTTAGCCTTTCTCCATATTCAGGGCTGGATTTAACAGACTCTTCAAGGTTAGAATCTTCGCGCTTGGACTTGTCAAGGCTGGGCACTTCATTCTCACCGGTTGCTTGAAGCACCGATTGACCTCCAATTGAAGAGTCATCGTTGTGATTATGATCCTGCATTTTGCTCAGATGCGCAGCTCTCTCTTCATGACCCTCTGGAGCTTTCTTTTGTACTTGTTTTCCTCGTGAATCATCTTGCATCGGAACCTTCCCTCCCTTGCAAGGCTCGTCGACGTCTGCTTGCCAACTGGTGGGCTTCTCAAACTTATCAGAAAAAGTTTTCCTGCGCCACTGATTTACTTTGAAATCTTCCAACGCTACTTTGAAGTTGTGCAGGGATTCTAACATAGCAGCTTGACCAGTCTTTTCAAAGGTATCTTTTTCAGTTATCGTTATGACACTTTCTGTTTTGTCACCGACTTCTTGTTCCACCAATTTTTCACCATTCACAGCATCATCTTCTTGCAGCTCTTTTTGCCTGTCCATTGGCTGTTCCCCTGGCTGCCGCGCGGGGTCCTCTACTGACTTAAGTTTTTGATTCAAGGGAAGGTCGCTTTGCGTTTTTCTGCATGGAGAACAGTTTCGCTGCAGATTATATCTTTCCTTGTTTGCCGACCTTAAAGGTTCTTCCACATCTTCGTCGTTAAGTGTGTCAATGCCTGTTTCTTCCTTCTCTCCGGTGATATCTTCAGTACCCGTGAAACTTTCTGTTGATTTTGCAGCATCCTCCCTCTCTTCTTCGCGAACTACCTCTTGTTCTTTCAAGATACACTCAGATTCTTTGGATGATAAAAACAGACTATCTTCTTCTCGGCTGAATGAGAAATTTTCGTCAAGCCTAGGTGTTATATTTTTCTTTGGCCTTTCAAAAGAACCCTCGACATCTGTGTTNAACTTTCTGTTGATTTTGCAGCATCCTCCCTCTCTTCTTCGCGAACTACCTCTTGTTCTTTCAAGATACACTCAGATTCTTTGGATGATAAAAACAGACTATCTTCTTCTCGGCTGAATGAGAAATTTTCGTCAAGCCTAGGTGTTATATTTTTCTTTGGCCTTTCAAAAGAACCCTCGACATCTGTGTTCTTGTTTTCTTCTATCATGTCCCCATGTGATTCTGCCTCCAGCGATTGAGTCTCGCTTACGTCAAAAGACCACTCCTTAGCTGGGCTGTTCTCTAGCTCCTCATGCGTGTATATACGCTCTTCGTTCTTGCTTTTACGCTCTTCTGACCAATGATCGTTTGCATCTGTTTCTTCTGCAAACTTTTTATTGACGCCTCCCTCTTCCTTGAACTCTGCCTGCACGACAGTAGAGCTTCTTGTCGAGTAAATTTCTTGCCCCTTTCGGTCGTATTTTGCCTGACCAACGTCCTGTAACTTGAACTTTACATTCTTTTTCTGTAAATCCAACTTAATCTTCTCAAGGGACAAAGCTAATTCTGCCGCTGATGATTTCATGAATCCATTGGTTTCTTGAAGCGATGACTCACTTCCATCGTTGTAACTGAAATAGAAGCCATCTGTTTTCTTGTATTTTCTGCCTTTGAATCGTAACCTCCCTCGCCTCTGTTTTGGTTTTTTATTCTGGTTTTGTTCAATAATTACAGTTATCGCACCTTTTTCCAGGTTCTTCGAATCTCTCTTTTTGAATTTCACTTTTTTACTCTCTGTAAACGAAAAAAGGGAAAACGACTCTTGACTAGACGGAATCATGGCGTAAATATAAAGGATCAAAAATCGTGCTCGATACTTAGACATTATGTTTGCAAAAAGGTTAGTCATTTATTCCCTAAAATGGCTTCGTTATAAATGTGATAGTTTTTTATTATATTGGAAAGCTAATCTCCCTGAATCATCCCGTAGGTGGATTATTTACTCGATTATTTAATGACGAACTTCTAGCATTCAGAAATATCTCTACCTGTTCCTGCCCTCAAAATTCACATATTGTTCATCTGACAACATATATTCTTTTTGCATAACTTTTAGATCTCGATCAACCGACTGAGAAAATTACAAAAATTGTACTTTTTCATACATGATCCATTTGAAAACAACAATGGGCACTTAGCTTCATTGATTCCAGAATCATTATCTTAATCTATTTTTCCTCACCTTTCTTTCCCTTGTCCTTAATCTTTTTGAACTTGGAACACACTGAAGACATCATTGAACTCATTTTTCATTTGATTTGGATAACACATCAGATCTGAAAGCAGGTATTTTCAGTAATTTTTTGCTGTTGTCAACAAATTGAAGTCACTAAGCTTAGATAAGAGAACTCAGGTCCGAGCTGAAAATTGTCTTGTTAGTTGATTAACTGCACCCTTCGATATTTGTAGTATTAAGACATTTCTTTCATTTGCAAAGTAACAATTGAACAACCCTATGTTTCTTTTTAATTCAGCATCTTAAGTATTCGATTTAATAAAAAGGTTGAATTTGCGAGATTTTTTCTTCGTAAGAAGGAAAGTTAGATGCTGACACTGAAGGACAACGTTCCGCACCTTACGGTGCCGGGTACATCACGTAAATTTCTACAGAAACAACTCAAACTCAAACTCACTCTGGAGACATCATTGAACTCATTGTTCATTTTATCTGGATAACACTTTAGGTCTGACAGCAGGTATTGTTGGTAATTTTTTTGGTTGTTGTCAAATTTAAGTCACTACGTTTAGAGCAGAGAACTCAGATCCAAGCTGAAAGTTATCTTGTTATTTGATTAATTGCACCCTTCGATATTTGTCGGTTCAAGATATCTCCTCAATTTGCAAAATAATAATTTCAATAACCCTATGTTCCTATGAATTCAGCATGTTAAGTATATGAGTTAATAAAAAGGTTCATTTTGTGGGATTTTTGGTTCTTGGTGTCCATTACGTAACTTTCTACAGAGACAACCAATATTTCTTACCTTCACCTTGCGCTTGCTTCACATTTATTACATTACTTGGCCAAGACTGCTTTTTTATACATGTACTGTCATATGATACACATTTGAGTGGACTGGCAAAACAAATTAGTTTTCATGTTGTCGTACTTGGCGGCTTTCGAGACTCCAGAAAGAGTTTTTTTAATTACAATTAATCACTCTCTGTCGAATAGACGAGTATGCATGAGCTGACGGAATTGACAACATTGCGACATAACCAGCCTCGTTCTACGCTACAGACCCAAAACAGCAAAATCTCTATCACTATGTAAAGTACACATGTTTGCTGTTATGACGTGAAACAGCTAAATTATCCCATATTGGTCTTTTTGCATACGGTTTAGAGCCTCGTTAACCAGTACTTGAAACCAAGAGAAAATTAACTACCAGTTACAAAAAAAGATAAGCGAATAAAGTTAGTTCTATCTCTAAAAAATATAGGTCCCATAGAAGATCTACAAATGTTACAGTTTGGAATTTACGTTTTGCAACCCTTCAATCTAAAATGTTTTACACGTTATGATGACGTAATAGTTAAAACTACTCAGTATCTTCATTCAGTATTAATTTTTAAAAACATCCATTCAAAGGAAAGCCGTCCAATGCAAGGTAGTTGAACAGATGTCAGTAGAACGAAAGACTTACGCTCTTCTGCGCTTCTGTAATGCCAGTCCATCAGTGATGGGTTTTCTAAATTGAGCAACCGAACATCTATTTGGAGGAACTTGACATTTGAAACTGATATGCAATATCATGCAAAGCAGCACCAAAACAGACTTAATGCTGACCTCTTTTTCTTGGTTACCAGTACGTCTTTCTCTTCTGATCTTTCTTCGTAGTCAGAACTGGGTTTCATAGGCTTTTTAGGCTTGACCTCTTCATTTTTACCATTTTCTTGCAGCACTTGTTGATCTTTCTTCGTAAGGTCATCGTGGCTGTCATGTCGACCATAAACCTGCAGATTATTGGGATGCACGGCTTTCCCTTCATTACTCTCTGGAGCCTTTTCTTGCACTTCTTTTTCTTGGGAATCATCTTGCGTTGCAACTTCACCTTCCTTGTAGGTGGAAAGGATTGGCTTTCTAATGCCATCGCTGTGTTCTCCCAAGTAATTTAGCTTGGAATCTTCAAAAGCTCCTTTTAAGTTGTGCGGGGATTCTAAAAGCGCAGCTTGACCAGATTTCTCTGGAAGGCTGACAGAGTTATCTTCTACAGTTATGCTTTCGATGCTCACTGTTTTCTCACTGACGTCCTCGTCCGCCACATTTTCATCTTCCACAGAGTCATCTTTCTGCAGCTCTTTTTGCTCCTCCACTTGTTGTTCCTCAGGGTGCTCGAGGGACTCTACCTCTTTATTCATGGAAGATTCATTTCGCTTTTCACTGTCATGAGAACCATCAAGCTGCGAAAAGTACTGTTCCTTGACTGTAGAGCTGATACTTTCCTCCACTTCTTTTTCTTTAAGTGTTCCACTGTCGTCTGTTTCTTTCTTCTCTCTGGTGATGTCTTCAATGCTAGAAATTTCTGCTGATATCACACCGTCCTCCTTCTCTTCTTCTGTGATTATTGCGTTTACTTTCAAGATATGCCCAGATTTTGGGGATAAAACGCGACTATCATCCTTATGATCTTTAAATGTAGATGTTGCAGCTTCGTTTGGCTCTACATTTGGTTTTTCGAACGAACTCGCATCCATGCCCTTGTTTGCTTCGATTAACATCCCAGACGACTGTGATTCCAACCCAGGCGATTGAGTCTTGTTTGGGTCAAGAGCTGTTGTCTGATCTGGGCTATTCACTGGCTCCTCCATCATGTTAGGCTGCTCTTGCTTATCAACTTTGCCTTCTTTTGACCAAGGATCACTTACATCCGTTACGTTTACCACTGTTTCACTGCTATCTTCCGTGAAGGTTGCTTGGACGACATCGGGGCTTTCTGGAGTGTCAATTACGTGCACTTCTTGGTCGTATAGAACATCTTCTTGTGACTTCTCAGAAGGTTCAGTCAATTCTACCGTAGATGATTCTTTGGATTCATTCGCTCCTTGAGGCAAACTTGCAGCGCTGTTACTGGAATAAGCTGAATCTCCGCTCAACGAACCATCTGTCTTTTTGGATTTCTTGGCTTTAAATCGAATCCCAAACTTCTTTTTTGGTTTTTCAGTCTGGGTTTGGTTACCAGCTTCATTCACAGCACTTTTTTCCTCCTTTTTCGAGTCTTTCTTTTTGGTTTTTTCTTTCTTCTCTTTTTTACTCTCTGTGAACGAAGGGAAAGTACTGAATTATAATTAAGAGGTATATAATATCACAAATGGTTAAAATAAAATCATTTACTATTAATTAATTGTAGCATTTCAAAAGTAATCGAGCGCAGCGTTTTTGGAGTTTCATGTAGGTTGGTTTGGCTACAGTTGCTCCAAACCCGCGAAAACTAAGTAGCTGTTTGATGTTTGCATTGTTATCGATATTGGATATATAGATATTTTCGAGCTCTTGCTAAATTTGCTGAGTTCTTTGGCGTAATTTCAGTCGTCGAGGGTATACTCCTAAGACACGTGCTGACTTAACCTCAGTGAGTTGTACGCCGTCAACGGAATGGTTATTGCATAAATTTGCAATTTCCTGACTGTCGAGATAATACTGTTCTTTTCTTTTCTGGATGAAATCCTCACAGAGCTAATCGAGAATGAGTTCTCGTAAAGGGGTAAGGGACCGGGTAATAAACTTCTCACCAGAGGGCAGTTGCTTATGAGAGCTTTTAGCAAATAGCTTGGCATATTTGTTAATTGCCAATCCCGGTAAAACAATATGAAAATTGTTTTTTTTACCTATCACATTCGACGTTGACGGACCATTAGCCCTTCTGGTTTATGATTATACCCCAAATTTGATCTAGAAGTAAATGCTTTTATTCTAAAGTGCTGACTATTTGGTTGCTTAAAGGAAGAGACAAGACGCTAATTCACACAAGCGGTCGCCGTCTCTCAAGGATGCGCTCGCTTGTGAGAGCTTTTTCAGTTTAAGACATAGTGCAATCCGGTTCTCTCAATGTTGGTCGCAACTAGAGCTGGTGGCTTACGAGAGTGGCAGCAAGCAGAGTTTTGACTATACTAAATATTCCTATCATTTTTCTTAAGCCAATATCCTTGTATATTACTACCAAATCCGAAATTCTTAGGTGAACAAACCACACAAATTCCGAAACTCTGAGCCCAACGAACAGTCACCACGAAATATTTTCGAAATTTTTAGCTGTTCTTGGGCTCTCGAAAATTTTAGCCGTTCTAGAGGGCTCCGAACAGATATTTCCCAGAAAACGGTCGTTGGGTGTCGCTGTTGTATTTTCGTTGCGTACCATTTCTGGATTCTTTAAAAAGGGAATACCTCGAACTAGTAGCAGTCAGATATATTTCAACTTCCTTTTTTTTTCAATATTCCTCGAATTGAACCGTCATGTTATTAGCTCGATGGCCCAACTATTATCACTTCCATGATCGAGATGATGGGAGATATGAATTAACATATCGAAGATTTCAAAACTTGCACGGACAACATTTTCGTGTCTTGTCTCACAGTGATCCAATCGATCCAATCGATTCCAAAAGCACCATCGTTATCTATATTAATATCGATTCAGTTTCCTTACCTTTCTTTTCCTTGTCCTTCTTTTTGGGCTTGGAAGGCACAGAAGCGGAGCTCATCGAACTCATTGTTCAACAGTTCTGACAATTCTGAGTGGGTCTAAAAGCAGGTCGAATTAAAGTTAGTTTTATATCACAACTCACGTCAAAGCTGTAACTTCTGGTTGGCTAGCTAAACCGTCATAAAGGTATCGATTCTACAAATATTTAAGTCATGGTGGGCATGCTTTTTACCATATAGTGTGCATGGGATTATTGAATTTGCTTTATTGGAGCTTCCGTGCCAGAAATAGAAAACTAACGATCTAATGGTTAAAAAATGCTGAACGGTTCCAATGAAGAAAAAAAATAGGACAGAAATTACTAGAAATAGATGGCAGTCTCACCCCAACTCTGCTACAAAGAAAATAGAAACAAAATT